TATTTCCTATTTTGGTTTGCCTTTACATTTATTTATATAAAATATAAATTACATCATATCGATATCATAAAGCTTATCCGCATTAAAAAAAAAGTACCCGAAATTAAGCACCGCTTATAACAAAAAAAGGGTGTTTAATTTCGGAACGGTACGGTATTTAATGGGTCTAAGAATATCCGCCCTGCAAGGTTATTAGAATATCCGTACTGTGCGCTACAAAGTTAATCCTTGATCCTTTCAGTTTAATTGATCGAAATTTATATCTTCAACGAAAACCAACATGAACAGGACAATTGCACTGCATATTCATATATTATAATATAGGTAAGTCAAAATCATAAATTTCTAATAAGATAGGCACGCTTAAATAAGGAATGTGGTATGATTAATGGATCTGTACTACAGTATTAAGGATCTAAGCATAGGGACAAACCTTTTAATACAGTATAAAAATAGTCAAAATACGTATTAGAAATACATATGTCGTGATCGAACTATGTTTCTAGTTTAAGGCACAATTATGTCACGCAGCTAACTTAATTATAATTGGTTGTTTAACATAAAAAAATAGTTTTCTTATCTAGCAGGAGTTTTGGTTTTGAGCTTACGAGTTTATTGCTTACAATTAAAGAGGATCATTTTACCACAAACAACTGGTTGATAAGGAAACGATTGAATGTTATAATTTTTCATTTTCTGAAAAGGATCAGACGTTTGTTTTTTGTTTTTTTTTTTACCGGTGATAAGTTTGGCAAGGATTTAATTAAGATTTGCATGCAAGCTTTGTTCTTATAAAAATTATTGATATTATCACAAACCAGTTGCCACCAACGGAAAAACTTGGTCATTGAAATATTGGATTCAATTTAACTCTAATACAAGTGAAATATTTTGAACAACGATGTAAGAAATTTTTAGGAATTTCTATTTGTATACTTATTATTATTGTCAAGTAGATAAATTAAAGATTCATAATTGTAGTGGGGTAAATTAAATGACTATACACTTAAAATCTACTCAGAGTACTAACGTACAAAAGCACTTATTTGCGCTCGCTACTTTGCTTCTTCCTTTTTGCACCTGACTTCTCCTTCAGTTAACGACCACACTGCCTTCCATGCTTAAGGCACCAATGCGTTATTACTAGGCACAGGATTATTTGTATAGAAGTCAAAGTCTGGGTTCGATCTCTAAGATTGAACCTCTTATTTATTAAATTTTGATCACATGAGATTACATCATACTACTTTAAACTTACAAATTACCAATACGATTAGTAATAAGCTTTTGCATTGCATCGAACATATTATAGTGTTACACAACCTTATCTCTATACATAATCACGTTATTAGAAGCAGATCCCACTGTAATAGTTTTGTGGCCCCATGGGGCCACGAAATTAATAAGTTTAATATAACATGATTTATTGATATTTTATGTTACATAAATTGATGTACGTACGTACGTACATAAATTGATAAAAAAATATAATATTTTAAAATAAAGAATGATGTGATGACATATAAAGGTAGTTTATATAGCATAACGATTATTCTTTTTTCGATTTTAAATTTCTAGTTCGATCATTGTACATTGTATAAAAGAATTTAGTAACCTTAAATGAAACATAACTAAATCCACCGATTAATACTAATAATATAATAATGAAAGTACCATAAACATCTATAAAACTTCCTCTGATGAAGCCCATTCTCGTATTAGGAGTAATCCGATCTCTTAGGAGTACTTTATTATTAACCCTTAAAGCTCGTTCTCATCTTTAACATTTTCATGTTTCGCTGAATTCATTACCATGTCAATTAAATCGGCAGCTCTATATTTCTTTTACTATTCACTTTAGCCACAAATTGTAATCTTTCCGTATTTATTTTAAAGCTTTGTTCACTCAGTAATCTTTTAATCTTTAATACTATATCATCAACAGTTAATTAAACTTTGAAAGTCTTAACGCCATACCAGTCAACTCTAATTTTTCAGCATTTCCAAGTTGATCAGTCATTATTGGAAGTATTAACATTGGGGTAGCAGTATACATTGATTCATGACTACTAGAAGTTTCACCATGACTTAAAAATACTTTAGTGCTTTCATGGGATAATATTGGGAATTGAGGAGCGAATTTTGTAATATGAATATGAGGATAATTATTATTTAAAATATCCGATATAGGAAGTTAGCATCAGAGTAAGACATTAATTCCGTAACATTTGTTCTCACAGTAGCCCATATCACACCATCAATAACATTTTGATCAATCAATTCAAGACAAGATTTCAGAAGAATAGCAATGTTTTGAGGAGAAGTAAATACAACAGTTCCAAGTGAAAAGTACATTGTTCGAGGATGAGAATTAAGAAACGAATCAAGAGCTGGAGTTAGACCTGGATAAGTATCAGGTAAAACGGGACCGATTTCTTGATGGAGTAACAACATAGCTGTCGGTATCTAGTAATAAAAGCATTAATAAAATAAAATAAAATAAAATAGCATATTATTATTCACAATGTTCATTAGACGTAAAATCCATGAGTGTAAAGAAATTAATTATATAACTACCTCAAGTCCAAGAAAAGTATCAAACAAACATAAAATATTCTCCATTCGTGCTCTTGGGTTCGTTACCTAACTTTACTCTTTGAGCATTTAAATTATTTCTCATTGACCTGATGAACCAAATAAATTTTAAATGTTTTATATAATGGCACAAGTAAATCTATCATAGAAAGATTCATTTTCCATGTTCACATGACATCCATGAAGAGGATCTGATTTATACAGTGATGGAGTGACGGCTATTTAATGTAATAGATAATACAATAGAGATTTTTCTTTACACTAATACATTTGTAAGTCGAGTAAAATCGAGTGAATAATATTTATATATATAGTACTTACCCAAAAGTGTGGAAGAACCGAATCCAACAACAGGCATTTCTAATTTCCAAGCAAGATCAAAACATGCAAAATTCATGCCCATATCACAAAAAAATAAATCAGCATTGATTTCCTCAGCGGTTTGTTTATATATTTTATAATATTTGGTGTAATTTTAGTAAATGTTCTAAAACTGTTTTCTTACAAGAAAATATTTTTCATCACATCTTGATTTACAAGTTCAGTGCCTGCTCTTTTATCGATAATGACCTGTGGAATCAAGCGATAAGAGTGGGAATTTGCAATAAAATTTCCTGGTGCTACTAATGTCACCTAAGAATCAAAAAGGCTAATTAAATAAAAATAAAAATATTAATTAAATCAAAGAAATTCACTAATTACATTATATCCGCGATCTTTAAAATTTAGACATCAGAATAAGATGACTTCCTCCTATAATTTGTTAACATTAATTATTATGATTATGATAATTCTAGTAATGATAGATGGTAACAACCGAATTAATAACTAATTTAGCGCCAAGATAGGAAGTAGCAAGCATTCTTAGGTACATTTGTCCTGTCCAATAATGGGTCTCGTTGAATAAATTTAGCAACACCTGAGATTCAATTGTAAGTGTAAATAATAAAAACGAATATTTTGATGCATTTTTAAAAATGACCAAAAATTTAAATAACCGCTTGAGAGGGAAAAGTTCATTTATGTAAGTCAAAGTCAAAATATATTTTGACAATAATCTTATTCATACATTGCGATTTACTACGTGATTATGAATTACATAAAATTAAATGCATAACCGGATAATAATTATCCGATATTTATAAGTGACACATAATTTGTTTTTGTTTGTTATAAAGGAAAAAAAATCCTTATGTTTACTTTATCTACAATATTACAATTAACTGGTGGTTAAAGTCAGCACCCTAATTTATAAATTTTTATAAATTAAATTTAAATTAGGTTTAGGGCTAGAGAGAGTACAGTCAAACCTCTCTATAGTCACACCTTCGGGATACAAAAAGTGTGATTATAAAGAAGTGTGCCAATTATGGAGGTTAAATTTATTATATTTAATAATAGTTGGTTTTTAAAAATATGTGCTTATAAAGAAATTTAATATAAAAACAAGGTTAAAGGATATAATGCTAAGGGAGCTTTTTATATAATTACATCGAATAGTAAGAATAATTAAGTTGCGAATATAATGTCAAATCATCAAGAAGTTTGAATTATTTTTTTTTACATATTGTATATAACATGCAATTATGATTATATTCAGGTGTTTGCTTTTAATAAGATTATAGATGTATTTATTTAATATAGAATTGTATGACTATAATATATTTGATCATGTTATTGTGAGTTTTTGCTTTCATAAGATATGTAGTATGGGTGAATTATCTACTGTTGAAATTGCGATCCACTGTTAAAATAATGTACTCATCTATTGTTGAACTAAATGTGAACTTAAAATCATGAACCAACCTATTACTGGAATTACAAACTTATTCAGTATTAAAATTATGAACCCACCAACTCAATTAAAATTACTACTTATCCACTACCAAAGTTGTGACTACTGTTGGCAATCAACTATTATTGTAATCACAAACCTAACTATCATTAATGCCACAAGTATATATTGATGAAGTCACAAATCTATATGGAATCTATTTATTCTACCAACAGCTTAGTTTATCGATAATCAATGCACCAATAGTTAAGGTTAGTGTAATATATAAAAAAAACTTATTAGTTAAATGAGTTGTTTATGAAATAATTAGCTGTTAGTAATTAGTAAAACATTATGGATCTATCTGTAATACTTATTGTGGTTTTCAAAATTGAAAAGCATATCAACGAAGTGATAAAGTGATTATTATTGTGAAATCAGATGACCTTATTAAATAACATATTCAATTTGTCATTTTATCTTTATGAGTTTTTGTGTATAGTCCATATTGTATCTTTTTAGATGCAGGTATTTTTTTAATTAATATTGTAATTGCATATGATTGTAGAAGGTATAAGTTACTTTAATAGGCAAGATTGTTTCCTGGAAATATTTAAAAGCTTAGTAGAGATTGTTATCTTCTTTTTGCCTTGTAATGAAGGTTGGCTTTATTGTCATACCACACCCACCTTTCTCTTGGTGACTCATTGACTAAGAACACTGGCTCTAATATTAATGCAAGATTCTTATATTTGTGATTAGATTTTGTGAATACAGAGAACCAAATATTGGCAATTAAGCTTTATAGCTACATTAGTAGTATAAAAACCATATGTTAATAATTGGGTATTGCAGTTGTGATAACAGTACAAAATTTCATTTTTGTAATTAAGTTTTGTAATTATAATAACTTTGCAAGGACCTTATATTAGAATTTAGATACAATAGTAGTAAGATTTATAATTGACTGCTGTGATAGCAATGTAAAAGCCAATGTTTGATAATTTAATTTTTATAACTACAATAGTAATACAAGAATCTCATATTGGAGATTTGGCTTCACAGCTACAATAGTAGTACAATGCTTATATTTGCAATTAGGTTCTGTAGCTATAATTGCAATGCAAGAACCTCATGCTAGATAATTAGACCTTGTTATTATAATATTAATACAAGGATCTTGAGAATTAGATACTATGGTTCAATAATATTGCAAGTCTTGTGTTTAATAATTAGGCTTTGCAAATAATAGTAGTGCAGAGACCTTATATATTTTGATTAGACACTATAGCTGCAATAGTATTGCTAAGACCTTATATTGTGATTAGGCTTCAAGACTACAGTGGCAGTACATTGATCTTATATTTGATAATTAGTTTTTGTGGTTGCATAGCAGTGCAAGGACCGTGTATTGATAATTAGCTTTGAAGCTGTGATAGTGATACAAGTATTTTATATTGTAATTAGGATCAATACAGAAATTTTATATAGAATTTAGGCTCTATAGCTAAATTTTAAATTTGGTTAAGCAAGAACCTTATCCCTTAAACTGTAGGCTTTTCCAGACAAATTTGCCTAGAAAATTATCATAAATATGGTTATGATCTACTTTTTTTAAATTTTAATATATTT